TGAAGCTGTTCTGGGGAAATCAAGTGCTTGTCTTGCTCCAGACTAGAGCAGGTGCTTTGGGTGCCCCATGTATATTCCCCTAGCCTTTCCATTTCAGTGCCATTTCAAATGTCTATTGGAAATAGACATTTCAGGCTGGATGCAGTGGCACACTCCTGTAATACCAGCACTTTGGGAGGCCGAGGCAGGAGGATCACTTGAGCTCAGGAGTTTGAGACCAGCTTGGGCAACATGGCAAAACCCCGTCTTTACAAAAAATGCAAAAATTAGCCAGGCATGGTGGTGTGCATCTGTAGTTCCAGCTACCTGGGGGGCTAAGGTGAAAAGATAGTTTGAATCCAGGAAGTGAAGCCTGCAATGAGCCAAGATATCACCACTGCACTCCAGCCTGGAGCCTGAGTGACAGTGAGACCCTATCAAAAGAAGAAAGAAAGAAAGAGAGAAAGTGGGGGGGGAGAAGGGAGGGAGGGAGGGAAAAGAAAGGAAGGAAGGAAGGAAGAAAAGAAAGGGAAGGAAGGAAGAAAAAGAAAGAAGAAGGAAGGAAGAAGGAAGGAAAGGTAAAAAAAGAAAAGAAAGGAAGGAAGAAAAGAAAGAGAAAGAGAAGGAAGGATGAAAGAGAAAGAAAAAGAAAGAAGGAAGGAAGAGAAAAGAAAAGAAAAGGAAAGGGTCTATTTCCACCTGCCAGGATCTGCACCTTTTGTCTCAGGACTTTTGGAGGGACTGGGGCTGTCAACCCATGTATCTGGCTAGATGTGCTAAAGAATTCGTGTCCCCCAAGCAGCCCTTTTTTGGTGCTTCCAATCTTCTACCTCCAAATTTATCAATGTTTAGAAAGCAAGCAATAGATATGGGTATCTTTTAGATAAGGGGCAGCACTGACTCCCCTACCCCTTTGCCTCCAATGAGGGTAACTCTGGATGTGTGTTATACCCAGGCCTCTAGGGTTCCCTAGCAGGGCTAAGCTTGCTAAGCGTACACCTTATTATAGGCTCCATTCTCTCCTGTCTTACTTCCCACGCCCCTAATCGTGTTTCCGTGGATCACATCACACATGAACCACTTGTGCTCAAATCCATGACCCAGGGCCTGCTTCTGGGAAAATCCAAAATAGCCTCAAACACATTCTTCTAAAAACAAAGCTTAAGTCAGTGTCAACACTTTGTGTTTTGTTTTGCTGCCACATTATCCTACTTACTTAGGCAGGATAACAAATGTCTATAACCTCTGAGGCACAGACCCTCCTTCCAGGAGCTCCTAATCTGAGGGGAAGCCAATAATAAGCATTTCATGGTTTTCAAAGTGGCTTCTCAGCCATGTGTCCATTTGCTCCTTGGAACCCTGCGGGATTTGCAGGACCACAATTCTTGTTTTGCAAGTGAGGAACACAGAAGCTCAAAGTGAGGCAGTGACTTGGTCCAGGTCCCAGAGCCTGTGATCCCTGGCTGACTCCTTTCTTGGCTTGTGCCTGTGTCAGCAACATTCAGGTGGTCTCTTTTCACTAAGAATAATTAGAGGATCCCTCCTTTCTCTGTGGGTTCAGCCAGAGCTCCAGTAAAGATACCCATATCTATTGCTTGCTTTCTAAATATTGATGACTTTGGAGGTAGAAGATTAGAAGCTCTAAAAAACAAACAGCACTCTTTCCCCCCAGGGGCCGCTCCATCTATTGCCCTCTCTTGGGCTAGAGTCTCTCCCAGTGAGAGCAATGTTTTTCTGACCATGTGGAGGCTCATGACGTTGGGGCCATTCTTCCCATATCAGACTGTATCCTCCCCCAAAAAAGGGACCCACACCAGGATGATACATGTGAAAAAGGGGAGACTAGTGGGATGAGAGCAGTCAGGGGACACAGACAAAGGCATCTAATTTAGGACAGGGGAGATTTCTGGGAGGAAGTAGCATCTAAGGGTGAGTTAGCCAGCTCCAGGAGGAAGGGTGTTCCAGGCAGAGAGAATAGCATAGGCAAAGGCCTGGAGATGACAGAGAGCATGTGGGTGTCCCCCTCCTAATCCTGTCTGGGGTGAAAACCCAAGCTCGCAGCCTCCTCCCACATTCCTTAGTTCTCCTACTCCTTCCTCCTACCCCTCGCCTGGAGCAGGCTGAAAAGGAACTGGGAAGGACCCCACCCATCTGAGAGCTGCACAGCCAGTGCTGGATCCTTCCACTTGTCCCTGCATGGGCCCACCACCCTTCTCCACCCACAGTGGGCCACCTGGCTCTGGAGCTTCCATCTGGGTTGAGCCAAAAGGAGGCAGTGGTAGAAGACCACAGGATGGAAGGGGAGGGAGGGAGAGGTACTTATTCTCCCGGCTGTCTCCCTGTGGGTTAGCCTCTATGAAAGACCACAGCTCCAACCTGGATGCTCTTCCGACCACTGCCCTCTCTGGGTTCCAGTAACCCCTTCCTCCCCTTGCGCTGTCAGCCCAGGTAGTTTCCATCCTCACTGTTGCTAGCCAGACATAGTGCACTATTTATTGATTTCCTAAACCCTCACCACACTCTCTTTAAATACCCATTTTCATTTTTTTATGTCTCCAGTGGTGCAAGAACCAAAGGGTAGATGTCAACAGGAGGCAGTTTTTGTTAAAATGTGAGAACATCTTAGCAATCAGAGCTGTCTGGCTGCATTGCAGGCAATGAGCTCCCTAGAGGTATGCAAGAGAAGCTGGACAGCCTCATGCCAAAACTGAAATAGAGGCGGGGCGTGGTGACTCCCACCTGTAATCCCAGCACTTTGGGAGGCTGAGGCGGGCAGATTACTTGAGATCAAGAGTTGGAGACCAGACTGGCTAACATGGCAAAATCCCAACTCTACTAAAAATACAAAAATTAGCTGGATATGGTGGCATGCCTGTAATTCCAGCTACTCAGGAGCCTGAGGCACAAGAATCACTTGAACCTGGAAGGCAGAGGCTATAGTGAGCTGAGATCACACCACTGCACTCCAGCCTGGGTGATATATCTCCAAATATAAAGAAATAGAAAGGATTCATTAGGCTTATGAGGGATTTGACTAGGAAACTCTTGAGAGTCCTTTTAATTTACATTCTAGAACCCTAAGATGATTCAATTCTAAGACTTTGGTTCTAAGATTTTATTAGCGCAAAAGACAATCCCTATCTTCAAAGAACTCACAATCTAGCAGATGAGGTGGATAACGGTTACTTTCTTTTTTTAAAAAATATTTTATTCTTATTTTTTTAATCTAGGATCAGGATCTGAGACTTTCAGTAACTGTCATAAACAGTCCTACAGAGTAAATACAAGGCCATGTGCAGGATATGAGAAGGAACCCTGACTGAACCAGGACTGTTTCCTCATGGCTAGTCTCAAGAACCATTTGTATCAGAGTCATTTGGGAATCTTGTTTTAAAATGCTGATTTCTGGGCTCCACTCCAGATTTCCTGAATTAGAACCTCTGGAGTGGAACCCAACAGTCTATCTACTAAAACAAGCTCCCCAGGTGATTTTTAGGCAGATTGAAAACAGGTTGCAAGACAGGCACAGTGGTTTGTGCTGTAATCCCAGCACTTTGGGAGGTGGAGGTGGGCAGATCACTTGAGCCCAGGAGTTTGAGACTAGCCTGGGCAACAGGGCGAAACCCAGTCTCTATAAAAAAAATACAAAAATTAGCTGGGCATGGTGGCATGTCCCAGCTACTCAGGAGACTGAGGCAGGAGGATCACCTGAGCCCAGGAGTTCAGGGCTGCAGTGAGCCATAATCACTCCACTGCATTCCAGCCTAGGTGACACAATGCAACCCTGTCTCAAAAAAAAAAAAAAAAAAAAAAAAAAAAAAAGGAAGAAAGGAAGGAAGAGCGAGAAAGAAGAGAAGAAAAGAAAAGAGAAAGAAAATTGAGATTGCATCCTTAGGTGGGCAGGATGACTTCTCTGAGAGGTGATCTCCAGACTGAGAAAAAGGAATTGTTGGGTCAAAACATGTAATTATAGAATACGGAACTAACATGTTTTGAGGAAGATTAGCAATTTTGTACAATATAGCCACCTCGTAGAAGGTCTAAAAAGGATAGCACTTCTAAGATATATTCTGAGATTCTGTAATTGAGGGTATGTGCCTCAGATATCCTGAAGCAGACCTTTGAAAGGGAGTGAGAGAGCTGGCCTGAGGCTGTTATTAATTATTCTAAGGCAGTGAGCTGGTAAAAGGGTGCTCCACAGGGTCCCTGGGAGACCGTTCCCTGCAACTGTCCCTTCCTCTGCCACTAGCCTCCTGGCTCTTATTCCCCAGCTGTCCCTGGCTGCCCCTGTTCTCTGAAGCCTGCAATGTCACCAGCAAGGAAACAACAGTTTGAGTGAGGGCAGTGTGGTGGGAAAATAAGCTGTTCTGGGGCAGAGATGAGTAAGGTGCCCCAACACAAGTTGGTCAGGCACTGTTAGGAACTTTTGGGGCTTGGTGGGAGGAAACATCTGCCCGTGCTAAGCAGAGAGAGAGGGGTGTGTAGTGGATTTTGGGTCTGGGCTCTGCCACTTGGGCATGTCTCTTCTCCCACTGGGCCTTCTGCATCCTGTGTGGAAAAGAGCGTTTTTGGAAGAATTAGATTATCTCGCTGTTAACCCTCTGGTTTTAGTACTGCGGACTCAAAGGTCTCATCTGATCCCAGACATAAGCCTGTGAAGAATGCAGGCAGGAACTGTTCCAACTTTACAGCGAGGCCAAGGCCTGGTGAGGAGCAGCGACTCGCCCACGGCCACACAGCCACACTGGAGCAAAGCCCACTCCTGGTGATCGGCCTCATGCTGGGCTTGCTGAGGCCCAGCGGAGCGTGAGGCTTTCGGTCTCTGGGCCAGGAAACAGCCGTTGCAGGGGACGGAAGAGTCGGAGCCCACAGCTGGGGGAGGGCAAAGGAGCTGGGCGGAGGCACCCAAGGCCAGCCAGGGGAGAAGTGGGTGTGCTGGAGCCCGGGCGGGGCCGGGGGAGGGAACTCCCGGGGGAGGGAAAAGGGAGCCGCACGCGGGTGGGAACGCGGAGCCAGAGGGTGCTCTGCGCAGTGCTGGGCGCCCGCCGAGTGGACCAGGGCTGGTGGAGCTCACAGGATCACAGCGTCCCGGCCACCCTCGGTCAGAGGGCGTTGTATCCAGCGAGCAAACGGGCGCCCCGAAGCCTTGCGGAGAGGCAGGTAAGGCACCCATCGAGCTGGGAAGGTTGAGCTGCAGCCTGGGGTAGAAATGAAGGGTCTTCCCTCCTCCCTTCCTAGGGCCACAGCGTGCTCTCAGTGAGACTGTGGACCCGAGGTAGGTGTGGGGGGTGCTGCATATACTGAGCCAGTCCTCCCGGACCCTCCCCAATCTTCCCAACCACAGTGATCCCAGAGCAGCAAGTGGGAATCGGGAGCTGGGATCTGCGCGCCCCGCCTGGAATCTGTGGGGACTTGCGCGGGCACTCCCAGCCCTCAAGACGGTGACGAGAAAAGTTCCTCCACACTCACAGACAGGCAAGCGAACATCTGCGTCTGGCAGCCAGTGCACGCGCAGAAACGACACTTCAGGACGCAGTGCAGTCTTATTTGGCCGGAGCCACTGGCTCTGCGAAGCCCACTTGCCCATTCCCTCTACCTCACTGTGTCCCTCACTCTGTCTGACCTAGTCCGGGGAAAGCAGGCGACTCCCAAAAGCATCTTCTGCTGCTAGTAACATAGGTTGAGTTTGGAAGTCGGGAGACTTGAGTTACAGGCTGTGTAAACCCGGGCAGTCACCCCTCCACTCTGTGCCTTGTGCTCGCTTTTCCTGGGTCACCATCTGTAAAATGGGCCTCCTGCTCCTGTTGCCTGCATACTCCATGGGACAGGAGAGGAAAGGGGGATTGGACCTGGGAGTCTCTTACCCTGAAAATAAATGAGTTGGCTGGGTGCAGTGGCTCATGCCTGTAATCCAAGAACTTCGAGAGGCTGAGGCGGGCAGATCACAAGGTCAGGAGTTCGAGACCAGCCTGGCCAATATGATAAAACGCTGTCTCTACTAAAAAATACAAAAATTAGCTGGGCGTGGTAGCACGTGCCTGTAGTCCCAGCTACCCGGGAGGCTGAGGCAGGAGAAGTACTTGAACCCAGGAGGCAGAGGTTGCAGTGAGCTGAGATTGGGTCACTGCACTCCCACCTGGACACAAAGCAAGACTCCGTCTCAAAAAAACAAAAAAGAAAAAGGAAAAAAAAAAATGAGTTTAGTCCTTGCTTGAAACTCCACCAGAGTATCTCCTCCTAAAATCCCCTCCCAACTCTACCAATTTGCATATAGAGAAACTGATGCCCCAGGGGAGACGATTTACCAAAGGTTGCAATAGCGACCAGACAGAATTAGAACCCAAGTTTCCACAGTCCTAGCCCAGGGCTCTCTCCACTTCACCTATAAAGGCCTATTGTAATTGTGTGAGCTCCTCATCTCCTTGTATGCCTCCACTTTGCCTATTCCTGATGGAGGAGACCCATGCTGGAGCTCTGGAAACTGCTTTCAGTTTCTTGACTCCTTGAGGTGATAACCTCAACCCTTCTCCATCCCTCACTCACTCCATACTTCTTAAAGCACATCCATAAAGTTAATGTGGGAGTGCTTAAAATACCTTCTACAAGGGAAGCAAGACAAGAAACTTGATCTTATTGATGAGGAAAATGAGGCCTAGAGTGATAAAGTTACTTAACCAAAATCCACCGCTAGATGTGTTGGCATAATAGGGGCAGGAACCCAGGTCTCTTGATTCCCTCTCTGATGTGTTCTCCACCAGCTACAGGACTACAGAATGGTACCCCTCAATGATAAGGGACTGCAGGGATGATCAGAGAGGGTGAGAAACAAGGAAGCCTTCTGGTGAAGTTGAGGTTTCTGGGAATCAAGAATAGTAATAATAACCTCCTGGCTGCTTCTGAGGCTAGGAGAGCTGGGGTAAGAAAGGAGACATAGAGATGGCTGTTCTTGGTAATATAGGGGGAAAGAAAAGATGTGGAGACAGAAAAGGAAACAGTGTGACCAGGCTGCTTGATAGTTATCTTGTATTTTGCAGTTTCTAAAACTTTCCCAACTATTGTCTCCTCTAGTTCTCATGTGAGGTAGACAGGGCAGGGATCATTATTCCCAACTTATAGATTAGGTTCAGAGGAAGTAAATGCAGTGCTCAAGGACACAGAGCCAAGCATACAGCCAAGATTAGAATCATGAAAGGAACACTTGAAAGGCAAGATCACAGGCTGAGGGACCGAGAGTTGGACTGTGTGTGTGTGCAGTGGGCAGGTGTATGTGGCCACACCCTGGGTAGGTACACAGGGAAGAGGGTTACAAAGCCATTGCTGGTGTTTTGAAGCCAAGAATGTTTGCCCTTTGGATTGAATGGGGTCCAGTTACAGAAAGCGTCTGGGCTTCCAAAGAAGGCTTAGAATTCTTCCTCCTCTGACTCACCCCACCTGACTGAGATGGCTTCTTTTCTTTGAGCCATCCCTTCCCCAGACCAAATGAAATCTGGAGGTTGCTTTTTAAATATTGTAAGCTGTTTTCATGAATGTATATGCATGTGCCAGAGCAGGAGAATGCACTTACAGAAGTGGCATTGATTCATTTATTCTTATTCTTGAATGCCTGCTAGGTATCCGGGCTGGGAAATAAAATAATGTATGAAGCACAGGACCCTACCCTCATACCTCAAAGTACACAGTTACACACACACACACACACACACACACACACACACACACACACAGTTTCAGTACAGTATAGTGTTCTAATAAGGCTTTGTGCAAAGCACTTTAACGAACAAACAAGAGGGAGAGACTAACTGGCTAGGGAGTGGGGAAGGAGGTGTCCCAGGAGAAAATCTACAGAGATGACATTGGAGCTGGGTCTTGAAGGATGAGTAGGAGTTTGCCAGGCAGGTCAAAAGAGGAAGGGCATTTTCGTTTAAGAAAACAGCATAAGCTACTTGGTTTCTGCCTCCAGCTCTGCCACTGCTGGGCTGTGAGACCTTAAGCAGGTGATTTCCTTGGGGAAGAGGGTCTATTCTTCCACTGGTTGAGTGAGGGAGTTGTACCAACAACATGATCGTGAAGATCTCTTCCAGCTCAGATTCTATTCCTGTGTCCTTCCAACTGGATGCTAAGGTCTACTCCTTTAACTCCCCTCCCACTCCATCAGCTCTCCAGTCCGCAGGAGGGATAAGACCACCAAGGGGACAGAGGCAAAACTGTGCATCCCAGGGGCTGTCTTTGGATTGCCTACCTGCTTTATGTGATCTTTTTCTACCTGCCTCTCTACTCCATTTCCAGACACTGAAGACTCTCATTTTGAAAGAGTAGCTAAAACGGAACAATGGGAAAGACCCAAGTGTAGAGTTTCACTTTTCTCCAGAGCAACCTGAATGAAAACCCCGCTAAGATCCCCAGTCCATCCTTCAGATCACAGCTTCATCCCCCAACTTCCAAGTTAGAAGCTAAACAACTGCAAGACAAGTACATTTTGTGAGAACTGGTTAATGTGTGGGAAATAGCAGGAACAGAGAGTGACCTGGCTCATCTGGGGAATCTGGAGTAGGTCTGGAGCAGTTGGGTGCATGGGAGATGAGAGCATAAAGGAAGGCTAACTCCTCCTCCCAAGCTTACCAACCTCCATCTCACTGGATCCTTAACTAAGATTGGCAAGAATCTGTGGTGCAGGAAAAGGCTATAGTAATAGAGTTAGAGGAGATGATGCCCCACAACCCTAAGAGGCTGTGTCTGGTGTGATGTGAAGCTTTGATGCGAGGGAACACTGCCGTTTGTAGTGGAAAGAGCACCTGAACAGTATCCCAAACACCTGGGTTCTTGTCTGAGTGCTGCCATTTATGGGCCATGTAATTTTGGACTAGTCACTTCTCCCTTCTGAGCCTCAGTTTCCTCATCTATGAAAAGGAGGGGTTGACTCGGTATCTAGATTCTAGATGATCCTTAAAGTCCCTTTCAGATTGGCCATCTGCTCACCTTCCTTCCTCACTGGCCTATCTTCCATTTCAAGGCAAGCCCTCTCCAGGGCAGGAGCTCCGTCTCCCCCATCCAAGGAGCTTGGTAATCAGGGACTCTCCTGGAGAAGGAAGCCAAGGAGCTTGGAAACAGTGGCAAAACTCCTCTGCTGATGACTGCCAGTCCCCAGCTTGAGCCCCAGAGGCAGGTCATAGAGAACCAACCTATGACTTCATCAGCTTTCTGCCTCTCCTAACTCAGACAGGAGGCCCATGCACCCAGGCCCTCCCTCCCACACAAACCCAGGACCTGGAGATATGGAACTATGGCCTCTTTTGTCCTCCTGTCAGAATCACAAACATCCTGGTCTCTTCAGAGAGGCCCTGAGGCATGAAAGGTTTCCTGAGTCTTTATTCCCCTCATGGAACCCTGCCTCAAAGCCTACCCTGCCCTCCACACTGGCCTTTTCCCCTACTTTCTGCAGGGTCTATCTCCTCCTTAGGCTAGATCACCCTGCAGGGTAAGCTGTTAAGAGGAAAAATGAGTAAGTCCCTCACTTTAGCTCAGCTGGAATATTAGGTGTAAGTTAGTCCCAGGGCTCAGAAGCATCTTAACTAGTGAGGAAAAGGTCCACAACCTTCTCTATCTTGGGATTTGAGAGGCTCTAGAAAGCCCCCAAGATGCCTCTCCCACCAGCCTCTCCAACTTCTCATGGTCTCATCATGTGGCTTCATACCATCACAGGATGTTAGAACCAACTGGAACCCCTTCAGAAAAGGGAAGTCTATGTCCAAAGTCACACAAGGAGCTGCTGAACTGGGACAACTCCCTGGGTTTCCATTCCTTCTCTGTAGTGAGGGTATTTAGCCTAGAAGGGCTCTGAAGGCCCTTCCAGCCTCTGCTCTACAAAAATAAAGCCACCACCATCTGTGTACTGTCTAGTGCCAAGCACTACATCATGTTTTTTAATTTTCACATCAAAGCTATGCTACAGATAGTGTTCATTCTGAGTGTTCATACCCTGTCCATCCAAATAGATTGGGTGGTAACACATCATTTGTTCCTATGTAAAATATCAACTCAGCTGCCAGCAGGCATTCTCCCATTCACATCATTCCCTTAGGATTCTAAAAGGCCCTTGCTATGGTAACCCTTAAGAAAGGGAACGTTTCAGGCCGCACCATCAGCTGGCCCCTGAATGGGAGTCCACATGTTTAACAGGTTTCTCATGAAGTCACCCAATGAAGACACTCTGAGTCTGGAGTTGGGGGACAGCAATTAGAGGCCCCTTGGACACTGCATAGTTCCTTTAACTGCAACCCTAGGCTGGCCTGACCCAGCTGCTGCAGGAAGGGGAGGAGCGGTGGGAGAGGTCAGAGGCACAGCGGGACTATTGCACAACCCTTGGGGCTTGGCCTTGGGCAATCCATTCCGATTCTGAAGTTTGTGCTTTGTAACTGGTTCCTTCCTTTTATTCTTTCTCTCCTGCTTTCCAGCTCTGGGCTTTCCCAGGTCTAAAGTCAATACTGAGACCCCAGATGTGTCCAGTGACATCCTGAAGAGGCTAGGGGGTTGAGGAGCCTTAGGGTGTCCACATAGAGAGCCTGAAACTGACTGAGAGCCAGCGGATTTGTCAGCTGTCTGGTGAGTCTTCCACACTCAGATTTCCCTCCCTCTCCCTGTCAGTTAAAGCCCCTTTCCAGTGATACCTAAGAAAACTGAATGGTCCTTCCCCTAGATGGAGCTCGGGATGACTAGGAGCTTTCACCTTCACTATATGTGCTGTGTCCATTCCTTTTTTTCTTCTAACCTACATGTACATATTTGCTTCTCTAAAAAAAAATTTTTTTTTAATTTAATCCTCTTCTACATAATACAAGTGTATGCTCACAGCAAGCCTTGAAGGAGGAGGGCAAGGATGATCATCTTTCTTTGTGGTTTTTTGTTTGTTTTTGTTTTTGTTGTTTTTTTGAGACAGAACTCTTGCTCTGCTGCCCAGGCTGGAGTACAGTAGCACAATCTCAGCTCACGGCAACCTCCACCTCCAGGGTTCAAGCGATTGTCCTGCCTCAGCCTCCTGAGCAGCTGGGAATACAGGCATGTGCTTGGCTAGTTTTTTATTTTATTTTATTTTATTTATTTTATTGCATTTTAGGTTTTGGGATACATGTCTAGAACATGGAAGATAGTTGCATAGGTACACACGTGGCAGTGTGATTTGCTGCCTTCCTCCCCTTCACCCACATCTGGCATTTCTCCCCATGCTATCCCTCCCCAACTGCCCCCAGCTGTCCCTCCCCTATTCCCCCCAATAGACCCCAGTGTGTAGTGCTCCCCTCCCTGTGTCTACGTGTTCTCATTGTTCATCACCCGACTATGAGTGAGAATATGAGGTATTTCATTTTCTGTTCTTGTGTCAGTTTGCTGAGAATGATTTTCTCCAGATTCATCCATGTCCCTACAAAGGACACGAACTCATCGTTTTTTATTGCTCCATAATATTCCATGGTGTATATGTGCCACATTTTCCCAGTCCAGTCTATCATCGATGGGCATTTGGGTTGGTTCCAGGTCTTTGCTATTGTAAACAGTGCTGCAATGAACATTGGTGTGCATGTGTCCTTATAGTAGAACGATTTATAGTCCTTTGGATATAGAGACGAGGTTTCTCCATGTTGGCCAGGCTGGTCTCGAGCTCCTGACCTCAGGTGACCCACCCACCTGGGCCTCCTAAAGTGTTAGGATTACAGGCATGAGCCACCACACCAGGCCTATTTTTTTTAATTGTGTTTTTTTTTTTTTTAAAAAAACTAACATAAAACTGTACCATCTTAGTTATTTTTGAGTGTACACTCAGTAGTGTTAACCAAATTCACCTTGTACAGCAGATCTCCAGAACCTTTTCATCTTGCAAAACTGAAGCTCTATACCTACTGTACAACTCCATGATGATCTCTTTTGGTAGATGAGGAAACCGAAGCCCCACTAGGCAAAGGAACTTACTTCCTTCAAAGTAGGTTCCTCCAGACACTTAACAGGGTTTGTCTCTACCTGTGAAATTGCCTGAGGCCCCTTCGCCCTTCAACCCTTAGGTTAGCCATTCCCTCCTCAGGTCTCACATCTGTCTCTAGCCCCACCCCCACTTTGTTATCCTCTCTGCCCCGACTCATGACTCAGCATCTTGCACTAAACTATTTCAAGACTCTTGTAGCTGGGCTCACTGCCTCAACTCTAGCTCCTTCCAGTCAGCATGACAGCCAGAGTATCCTTTCCAGGCACAGATCTGACCATTTTATCTTCTTTAAAATACTTATTTCTTGGGAGGCCGAGGCGGTTGGATCACGAGGTCAAGAGATCAAGACCATCCTGGTCAACATGATGAATGTCTTCTAACAGTGCCACGCAGTCCTGCTGAGAGCTGGCATGGAAATGGAAGCAGCTCTAAGCTAGCCACAAAGAGTAGGGCTTTCTGTCTTGGCTCTGTCTCTAACATTCTGTGATGATGGACAAGCAACTTACTCCTCTCAAGGCCTCAGTTTCCTTGTGTATAAAATGGCAAGAGTTAACATGAAATAATCCCTAAGGTCCTTCTAAACTAAAGTTCAGTGATTTATAGAATCCAAAGAAAGGAGAGATTAATATGGGTTCTGATGGTCAGGGAAGACTTTATTCTACAATTATTTATTGAGCACTTGTTGAGTGCCATCATAAGTGATTGTATATAGCAGTGAGTAAAACAAATATAGGCCCTGCCTTTGAGTGTGTAGCCTAGTGAAGAAAACAGACATGTAATCAAGTAGCTAGAACAAACTATTGTATTAGTCCATTTGCATACTGCCATGAAGAAATACCCAAGTCTGGGTAATTTATAAAGAAAAAGAAGTTTAATGGACACAGATCCACATGGATGGGGAGACCTTATAATCATGGCGGAAGGTGAAGGAGAAGGAAAGGCATGTCTTATATGGCGGCAGGCAATAGAGCAGGTGCAGGGGAACTGCCCTTTATAAAACCATCAGATCTCACAAGACTTATTCACTATCATGAGAATAGCATGTGAAAAAACCATCCCCATGATTCAATTACCTCCCACCGGGTCCCTCCCATGACATGTGGTGATTGTGAGAGCTATGATTCCAGATGAGATTTGGGTGGGGACACAGCCAAACCATATCAGCCATGATGTTTGGATTTTACCTGGGATCTGAGGGGATGACGTCATTCAAGTTACAGATGACAGAGCCATCCCCTCTCTCTTTTCTCTTGCCACCAGAGCTTCTACCAAGTCTTCCCCCACCTCAATCACTATTGCTATGGAGACTACCAATGGAACTGACACCTGGTACAAGAGCGTGCATGCTGTACTGAAGGCTCTAAATGTCACTCTTCACAGCAACTTGCTCTGCCGGCCAGGGCCAGGGCTGGATTCAGGGCCAGACAACCAGACTGAAAAGCAGCGGGCCAGCCTACTTGGCCGTGATGACAACTCCTACATGTACATTCTCTTTGTCATGTTTCTATTTGCTGTCACTGTGGGCAGCCTCGTCCTGGGATATACCCGCTCCCACAAAGTGGACAAGCGTAGTGACCCCTATCATGTGTACATCAAGAACCGTGTGTCTATGATCTAACACAAGAGGGCCAGGATGGTGGAAGACTGAGACACCTGGGGATTGTGTCTGGGGCCTCCAGAACTCTGCTGTGGACTGCATCAGGTCTCAGTGTCCCTATCTGTAAGATCAACAAGAAACAGGGCTAAGGGAGGTCATCACTGGGGTAGGAGAATAGGGGCTGGCAGACCAGAGCCTTGTGCATAAGGATTTTTTTCCAGAAAAAGATAGACTTTATAAACAGTGGGAGCCCGTGAACGAACACATACAAGTAGCAACAGATAATGACCAATAACTGGTTAAGTGGCTGGAATATTGGGGGCCTGGTGGTTGGAGAAAGGAGCATAAATTGTAGCAGAGGGAAATGAGACAGGAAGATGCTCTGGGGACACATTTTTTATGTGTTATCTTCAATAGTCATGAGAAGCAGTGATGATTATCCCATATCACAGATATGACTTACCACCACCACCCCGCCTCCACTCCCGTGAAGAAAGCAGGGCAAGTGCTATGCTGCCCATTTGGGCCTGAATGATGCCATGATTGGAAACCAGGAACTCTGGTCTCCTTGCCTAGTGCTTTTCAAAAGTTTGTGCCACACAGGAAAGGATCCAGGCCTGAAGGTCATACAATCTGGGGACTCTCTTTAAGGATTCTAAAATAGCTTACTTTTGCAAATATTACAAAAATATACTGCCACATAAGTATGTTGCTAGGGCCCTTGCTAAGACCTTAAGAAGGAGCTCATGTGAGTCAGGACCCCGAATATTATGCCTTGTTAGCTCCATGATTCATGTGCTTCTTGAACCAAGTCACAGGGCACTTCCCAGTCACATCTCCAGCTAGGGGGACTAAACTACCTCCAAATCAGCCTCTTTGGTTTTGAGTGAGCTCTGTGAGAAATTTTCTTTTCTTTTTTAAAACAGTCTCTCTATGTTACCCAGGCTGGAGTGCAGCTACCCCATCTTGGCTCACTGCAACCCCCGCCTCCCAGGTTCAAGCAATTCTCCTGCCTCAGCCTGAGTAGCTGGGATTACAGGTGCCTATCACCACACCTGGCTAAACTTTTTTAAAGCAGAGACAAAGTTTCACCATATTTCCCAGGCTGGTCTCAAACTCTTGGCCTCAAGTGATCTGCCCATCTCAGTTTCAAAGTGCCAGGATTACAGGTGTGAGCCACTGCAACCAGCTATGAGATTTTTTCTGATATCATGTTGAATCTGCTTCTAGAAGACTGATATTGCACTTAAAAGATTATATTAAAAGAAGGAGAGTATAAGAGTCAGGTACACGGTCCAGTGGAAAGAGAAGCAGCCCTGATTCTACCACTAAGGTGATGTATAATCTTGGGCTGGACACACCTCTCTCATTCATTTTCCTCTTCAACATAATGAAATAGACTTGAAAATTTCCGAGGTTCGATCAGTTCTGACATTCTAGGCTTCATATACATTAAGTTGAGCCACAGGTAATCACTGTGTTTGTAGGTTAGAAACAGCTGGGTATCATAGTTTCATTTGTGGTTCCATCCAATACCTGCAATGTGGCTGTTGAATATGTTACAAAGTATCCCAAATCTCAGCTAGAACCACCCACTGTTCTGTTTGTCCAGTTTCAACTTAAGGGATCTCCATGTGGTCCCCAGAAGTACCCATTAAAACATACATATTTGTGTGTAACAGAACTCTGAAATAATATTTTGATAGCAGTTATCTCTGAGGAATTGGATTATGGGTGCTTTTCCCTTTCCACATTATATTTATGTACTATTTGACTGACTTGACCATAAGCATGTTACTTGTATAATAAAAGGAAAAAAGATACTTCCACTTTGAACAAATAAAAATAAAACCCTTTGGGTTCTTGAATGGAGGATCACGGAACACATTTGCTGCCATGAGCAGTTATGTCAATGCTCTGTAAACCTGCGCTGAGCCCTGTTGCTCAAGCCCTTCCTCATCTCTTCTTAAGGGAGAACGTGGAGACTTCCTTAAGATGTGACATATAGGAAGACAACAGATTCAGAAAGTTACAGCTTATAGGACTTTAGACACCATCCAGCCTGAACTTCCAAATAAAATATGGAATGCAATTGGGTGTAAAAATGAGTGGTTATGTGATGAATGTCATAAGGATTTTGAGAAATGCAGTTGACTAGGAGGAATCAGAGAAAGGTAGAACTTGAATTGGGCTTTGAAAGTTAGGACAGAGCTAAATGGGCAGAGTGAATGAAGGGATCAAGACCAGGGAAGCTTGGAAGCAGACATCGCGGAGCTCCTTCCTGGACAGGGCAGGTGGGCTGGGGGGACAGCAGAAAGCAGGCCTCCTGGGGCTACTCCATGACTTCATTGTTCCCAGTGAAGACTTCCCTTCACACAGTCCTCATGCTCCCTGGCCTTAATCATGAAATAATACAAATTATTTTGGTTGCAAGTTACAGGCATTCAATGTATATTTCCATAAGTACAAAAGGGAATTTCTGAGGTATATGGGGTAGCTCATAAACAAGGAGCTACAGACACTAGGGCAATTCCAGGAATCTCGAGGACTGGAAAAACGAATCTGTCTGAATTCACAAAGTAAGAGTTCAGTATGTTTCCTTACACATATCCAGGTTGGATGAAATAAAATTCTAGGATTTGAAGGGAGTAAAATTTAAACATTCTAATATCCTATAGTGGCCGGGTGCAGTGGCTCATGCCTGTAATCCCAGCACTTTGAGAGGCCAAGGTGGGTGGATCATGTGAGGTCAGGAGTTCAAGACCAGCTTGACCAACATGGTAAAACCCCATCTCTTCTAAAAAAAAAAAAACCCATTAAATTAGTTGGGTGTGGTGGTGCACCCCTATAATCCCAGCTACTTGGGAGACTTGAGTCAGGAGAATCACTTGAACTGGGGAAGTGAAGGTTGCAAGGTTGCAGTGAGCCGAGATTGTGCCATTGCACTCCAGCCTGGGCATTAAGAGTGAAACTTGGTCTCCAAATATATATATTTGAGACTAAGTTTTGTTTTATATATGTGTGTATATACACATATATATCTCCTATGGTATAGGCATTTCTACGTATATATTCTATGTTATAGGCACTCCTCTCAGCCCTCTCTCCAGCCCAGTTGTCTGGAAGCCTGTCCTGCAACCTCTTGCAGGTCAAAGCCTGTAGAAGCTTTGTCTTCACAGGTTCTGCCCTCTGCTGGCCAAATCCTGGCACCTCGCCTTAAGCCCTCAAAGTGAAACCAATAATCCTTCATTCAACAAGTATTATTGAGTGCCTACTGTGTGCCAAGCATTCACCTAGGCACACTTGGAATACACATGTAAACAAAAACATCCCAGAAATTCCTGCACTAATACTTAAGAGCATTTATTCCATGCCAGGCATTGGTCTAAGCATTTTATACACCTGAACTCATTTAGCTTTTAAAACCCTCATAACAACCCTGTGTAGTAAGTAGGTATTCCTTACAAGTACTTCCACAGAGCCCAGTTGTTTTTGACTAGCCCCTTCAGACAAATTTAGGTCCCATGGTACACACAGCCGAGAGCATAAATCTTAACAGTCCCCAGAAATGAATGAGAAAGTGATTTGGGAAAAGGATGGCAGAGTACTGACACCAGTGGCCTGAAGTTGGGTTTCCTAAAAACAGACCTTGAGACAGAATTTGGACTTGCTCTGTTGCTCAGGCTGGAGTGCAGTGGCCTAATTTGGGTTCACTGCAGCCTCAATTTCCCAGGCTCAAGAGATCCTCCCGCATCAGCCCCCCACCCAAGTAGCTGGGACTACAGGCTTGTTCCATCACATCCAGCTAATATTTGTTCGAATTTTAGTGGAGATAAGGTCTGGCTGTGTTGCCCAAGCTGGTCTCAAACTCCTGAGCTCAAGTGATCCTTCTGCCTCGGTCTCCCAAAGTGCTGAGATTACGGACTTAAGCCACCACACCTGGCCATCCAGCAGACATGTATTGATGGGAAGCATTTTTCAGGAAAAACCTGCAAGGGAGAGAGTAGAATAGAAAGAAAAGGGAAGGTACCATACAAAGTGTGTCTCAGTCACATCTAGCCTTGGTCTGATCCACAGGGAACTGTTATATATGGGGGCATAAGTCCCATAACAGAATTACACTTCCTTGAGGCAAGGCAGCTGGCCTTTTGTATCCCCAAAGCAGCAGTCATTGGTTGTGGGCTGCCCTGGCAGGGAAGGGGAACAAGATGAGGGTTTTGAGGAGGTTGCCATCAGCTGTGGGGAAGGGAGCAGCTGTAAGCCACTGCAGAATAGAGCAGTGGAAGAAAGGTCAGCACAGGAGGGCTTTTGGTTGGAGATTAGCAATAGCCTCGTTCCTTGGGAAGGTTGTAAAGCTCTTTCCTCATTACAGAATTGGCCCCACCTTTTGTGACCTTATTTTACTACCCTGTATCAGTTAGTCATTGGCTGCTAGTTGCTCCCAGGTGTGCTCATAGTTGACTCAGGCCAAATCTCTGGGGATTGGGATAGTTCTGGGCTGATGGTATCCAACATGGCAGCCTGGTGAAGGAGGCCTCTCTAGGGCCCCATCAGCATTCATGATAGCTGTGCTGTTGGGGAAATGAAAATAGAAGCAGAGTGTCTCATCTTGGGAGCTCCTTCTAGTTTAAGAGACGAGAAGCACACACCAAATAATGAACAAAATAAGACAATACCAAATAGAACCAAGTAGGAAACAATATCATTAAGCATCAGAAAGTGTGGGGGACTGATACTAATGTGATGGTCAAAAAGAGGAGAGGACACCGGGCGCAGTGGCTCAAGCCTGTAATCTCAGCACTTTGGGAGGCCAAGACAGGCAGATCACTTGTGGTCAGGAGTTCAAGACCAGCCAGGACAACATGGTGAAATCTCATCTCTACTAAAAAAAAAAAAAAAATACAAAAATTAGCCAGGCATGGTGGCATGCACCTGTAATCTTAGCAACTCAGGAGGCTGAGGCAGGAGAATCACTTTAACCCAGAAGGCAGAGGTTGCAGTGAGCCAAGATCATGCCACTGCACTCCAGCCTGGGCAACAGAAAAAGACTTTGTCTGAGAAAAAAAAAAAAAGAGAGAGAGAGAAGTTCATGCATGTTTCTGGGAGGAAGTAGAATTTGTGGTAGAATATAAGGAACTGGTAGGATTTGGTTAGAAAATCCAATGTAGGCTGGGTGTGGTGGCTCACACTTATAATCCCAGCACTTTGGGAGGCCAAGGCAGGAAGAACACGGGCCCAGGAATTCAAGACCAGCATGGGCAACATGGTGAAACCCCATCTCTACTAAAAACTTAAAAAAAAAAAAAAAGTGAGGCATAGTGTTGTGTGACTACTCAGGAGGCTGAGGTGGGTAGATCAACCTGATCCTGGGAAGTCGAGACTTCAGTGAGCTGTGATCATACCACTGCACTCCAGCTCTCTCTCTCTCAAAAAAAAAAAAAAGGTCCAGTATAGTATTGTCCAAGCTCAGTATTCCAAGTTGGTGGGTGGCTCTGCTCTACCCAAACATTCAAAGACTGAGAAAAGCGACTGCCATCTTCAGCATGTAGCTTCCAAGGTCAGTCGTTGTCAAAGCATTTCTGGTTAGTGAGGAGAGAGAAAGAATAGAACTCCAGGCCAAGGACTTACTCTTAAGAAAGCAAAATAGGCTGGCTGTGGTGGCTCATGCCTGTAATCCCAGCACTTTGGGAGGCTGAGGTGGGTGGATCACCTGAGGTCAGGAGTTTGAGACCAGCCTGGCCAACACAGTGAAACCCCATCTACTAAAAAAAAAAAAAAATATTAGCTGGGCGTGGTGGTGCATGCCTGTAATTCCAGCTACTGGGGAGGCTGAGATAGGAGAATTGCTTGAACCCGGGAGGCAGAGGTTGCAGTGAGCTGAGATCGCACCATTTCACTCCAGCCTGGGCAACAAGAGTGAAACTCCATCTCAAAAAAAAAAAAAAGAAAAGAAAAGAAAGCAAGGCAAAAGCTGTGTAATCTCTTCTTCTCAGCTCCATTGATGAGGGTTTAAACAACATGGCCACAAACTGGCTGCAAGGGGAGCTGGCAAATGAGATACCTATTTGGGTGGTCATGTCCCAGAGGAATATCTATCACTATGGAGTAAGAAGAGAATGATTTCTGGTGGACAGCCCCAGATATCTTCACCCCAGTCTCCTCAGTCTGCCCCACAGGATTAATCAAGATTAAAACATTTATAACCCTGCTGGGAAGGAATAAGTGCTGTTACTCTGTTTAGATCATGTTTTGGAGGGAGAGGGTGAAGACAGGAGCCTTTTGAGTATAACTTAGCCTATCCTAGGAGTGTGACTTTTGCTCATTTTTTTCCTGGCACAGGTGAGTCTGGTCTCTCCTCTCATTGGAATAAAATCAACCAAAATAAGCGGTTTAGGCATAGGAGTAATAGACAAAGTAAGGCTTTCAGCCAAACTTATATAGAAAAAGAATCTTTTAGGTGCTGCTAAGAAACCAAGAACATGATTTCCCTGGATGAAATTAGAGAACCATCTGTTGCAGTGGTTGAACTGTGATGGAGAATGAGCTCCTGGGAACAAGAACATCAGAAATTCATGAGCAGGAAAGAAAAAGGGAAGACAAATTAATATTTGATGAACAACTGAATTCCTCACTGCACGTTACTCTGGGCCAAAGGGAACTGTCTCACCAAGGTTATAGTCCCTCTTGGGGGCAGCTCACAACCAATGAGGGACTGATGCAGGGATCCAAAGGACTGATTTCATCACTAATGTGCGGCAACTCTGAGGGGCTCCAGAATTCTCCAAAGGATCAGCTGAGACTTCAGTAGCAACCACATTGTGAGTTAGCTTCTTCCTCTGCCAATTCCTGCTTTCTCACTTCCTATTTCCCAAGAGTACTTCCCCCAAAAACCTTCTGCATGCAATTCTCCATCTCAGTCTGTTTCAAAGAGAAGCAATCCCTTCCTCAAAAACTGTGCCCTAACATGGAGTCTATTCCAAACTCAGTGCCAGTAATGATAGAGCAATGGATGTTGGAATGTAGATGAAGGCAGTTAGTGGTTCTAGCAAACAAAAAAGAAGGCAAGGCAGTGAGAGACTAACTATGTAGAAAACTGCCAGCCTCG